CAGCTTGTTGTCTTCTAGCAGCTTGCTGTTCTTTAGCAGCTTGTTGTTATATAGCAGCTTGTTGTGCAATAGCAGCTTGTTGTTCAAATTTATGTATTTGTTCTTGTTCCCATTTGTAGGGTTCATCCATTTTTTCGTAATCATAGGCATCTAGTAATGCATCTTGAATTTCTTCCATCATAAGTACATCATATAAATCTGGATGAAGCCATTGGTCGGCATATTGTCGTTGTTCTCTTTCATGTTCTCGTTCCATGTGTCGTTGGAACACTCGTTCTTGCCACTGTTCATAGCGTCGTCGTCGTCGCTGTTGCTGTCGCTGTTGCTGTTGCTGTTGCTGTTGATTTTGCTGATGACTTTGCAGTTGGCGCTGATGTTGTCGTTGTTGCTGTTCTTGACCTTGTTGCAATGCCTGTCGTCGTGGTTGATGATGTCCTGTCTGTTGCCATGGCTGTAATCGTTGCTGTTGTTGTCTTCCTTCATTTGCTGCTCTTGTTGTTGCTATATCATTTTGTTCATGGTTTGATATTGGTGCATTTTGAGTTGTAATCATGTTTGTTGCACTAAGTTGTACTAATGATTGGTCTGTTTTTACGATTGCATTAGATAACATTTTGTCAATATTAGAATCATGTTCATTGTTTGGAATCATTGGTTTATTTGGATTATAACCACTTTGACTATTGATAGTGTTCGTTCTTAAAAAATTTTAAGTTATAGAAACAATGTCTAGATTTTGTTTTCATTTGTTGTCATAACTGGATACTTACATCGATTGCTTGTTTATTTCTAATATCTGTTTGAGGTTGTTGTTTATAGAATTGTGGTGGTTAGTGTATATCTAGAATATATGATATAATGAAACAGTAATAGGTTCAAGTTGAATATTTATTCAAAGAAGAAAAGATGTAATAAAAAAAATGAATATTAATTGCAAGGAGATACGAGTCAAAATGTTTAATAGTCAAATATCATAGTTTGAATAATGAAAAATGAAATAAACTATAGTGTATGAAATGATTCACACAGTTGATAGAAAAAACGACCTTGAGCATCTTATGATAAACCGTTGTTACGAATAATGTGACAATTCTCGTTGAACTGGGCCATTCAATTATAATGCAAACAAAAAAAATGATAGATTTGAATCTAGAAAACAAAACAAAAATGAGATATGTCTATGTATAACTGTTTCAAATATGACAATAATTTAATATAATAGTGCAAGCAAAAATAAACATAACAGAATAACAATAAAACATTACAAGTTTCTTACAATACAATATATTAGTTGGATCGTATATATGTTATTAAAGTTCAACGATTAACTGATGACCTTAACCATAAGTCGTTGACTTTCTCATATATGACTAAATCAACTTCCGGTAATGCGAATGATGGAACCATAGCTGCTGTTGTTCTTCCTATTATAGAAGGTAGATTTATTGATGTAATTGAATTGCAACATATCGATGATATAAATGATGCATTCGTAGAAGTATCTTGAAGACTTGATGTCGCTGATTGAGATGAAATGATAGAATCTTGTTTAGTGGTCATATCTATTTGAAAAATTCCAAAATAAGTATGTATGCATATTACAAATTTATTCATGTTTAAATGTTTTACTTCTCTGTTTAGTTCTATTGCCAATAGTGAATAGAATAGGATCATATACGTCGAAAATATCTTTGTCTGTATGCAATCATGTAACAATATATCTAGAAAGGGAAACAGATAGATAATTATAGGAATTTCAGAATACAATGGATATATATATATATATATGTATATGTATAAGAGTAGAAGAAACAAAATGAAAAAGACAAATAACATGAAAAAAAAACTGTTATTAGATTTTGAACATCTACACTATAGCGTATGATTATCATCATATTAGAATGTATATGAAAAGTATAAGTACAAATGTTATGAAATTCATCATCATCTATTGTATCACTCTGCTGCTTGTGGCCATGGTAAATCAACAATGATAAAAGTATTCATTGGATTATAATCATCTAAATAATCTATGAATCCATCATTTTCGTCTTCTATTTCTTTTTCTTTTTCTCCTACAGTTTCTGATGTTGCTTGATTGTCTTGTGTTTGTGATGCTAATTCTTGTTCTTCTCTATACTCTTGTATTTCACGATCAAGTTTTATTTGAACATGTGCATTAGGATCATATATTTGTTGTTCGATCTAAAATATGATGAATTCGAGAAGAAAATACGCAATGAAATTGCTTTTCTTTCTATCATGTCATCCTTTACCTTACATCGTGGAATTTTAACATAACACTTCATACAATCAATTAAATTGATTCGTACATCTGTTGTTCGAAGTTGTTGACCATAATTATTATTTTCATTTTCACTTGTTGCCGATGATATTGTTGTCATAACATGATTTGATGATTGAGATGATTGCTGAAACAAAAACGAATACATTTATTTGACATTATGTGTTTTGCTTTTGTTTGAATATTTACCTCAATTAAGAATTGTTTATATTGATCATCATCATCACTCTTACATGTTACGGTAGAATTATCTAAAGAGAATCAGAAACCGAAAATTCATTTAAACTTGATGATTAAATATTCGATACCATTTGGAACTACTAATTGACATTGTTCTTGTGATCCAGCAGGCATAGTTTTCGAGCGAGATGATTGTTTCTTTGCAAATGAAATCTATAAGAAATAGAGAAAGAAAATTTATTTTATAAAATTATAAATGACAAATTCTTAGAAGCTTTCTGTAAATGAAAAAGTTACATGTTTCTTTATTTTAAAAACTGATTTTTAACAATATGTTTTGATATACAAAAATAAAACAAAAATGTACATGATTAGCTACAAAAATGACAAGAAAGTTTACTATCTTTTTCCATAGTTTTGTATTGTTCTATCTAAACAAGATTTGAAAACAAAATGTTATTAAGATAATAGCAGTTACTCCAACTTCACTTACTTATATTTATGTTCGATCAAGTTTTAATAGCATCACTAATTTAGTCACTGCCAAACAATCATTAACAGCATATTGAATCATTTGTTGAATGATTTGTTTTTCTTTAAGATTCATTACAGACGAACTGTTATGATTTATCATATCAAGATGTCGACTCCATCTACTTTTAGTTCGACTTTTATCGAGACATTCATGACATGCATAAGCTATAGCCATTTGAAGTGACCATATATAATGAAAACTTTTAATAGATTGTTTTGAATATGTATCTAATCTTTTCTGAATATCTAATGGAAGATGAGTATGTTCATGATTCAATTTTTGATCATGCCGTTGTTTAAAAAGTTTTTGTATGTCCATATTATTTATTTGATGGAGTTGGTCAAATGAAAAAAGTCCACATGAAATAAATTTATTCAATTCCTTTTCACCGTCACCCCATGAATATATACAGTTGGATGAATTTAAGATTATTTTCACAAGTGATCTTATTAACCAAAATATCGCTGATGTTACTTCTGGTAAATGATGCACTTCAATTAATAGTACGATAGATTGATATTGTATGAATTCAATTTGAATTAATGCTGGTCGATGTGTATAATAATCATCTTCTGTATCAATAGTAAATCGAGTTGTTTTTCTTGCTCGTTCAATTAAATCATGTAATAGAATAGAAGATGTTAATTGATTAATATGATAGATATGATAATCATTTAATGGATTAAATATTGGTAAAATACTTAATGCCTTATTTAATTCATATTTTCGAGCATTTCGATTCATTTTTGTTTTGAGTGACGACGATTATTTTTTGTTTTCTAAATAAACCAAAATTAAGCTTTCTCTATATCTTTTCTAGATAACTTACTTGTTTTGTTGAAGAACGAAAAAAAAATTGAATGTTATATTGAAATACAAAATGAAATTAAGTAAGATAGGTTTTCAATAGACTTTATCTAGAAAATGAAAAATAATGAGAAGTTTCTTTTCAAAAACAAAACAAAACTATAGAACAAAAAAAAACAAACAAAGAAACAGAAATGATAGTAATTCAATAGTATACAATTCAAAATATACAAAAACAACACAAAATTCATGTCATAACAACGATGAATTAATATAGTGTAACATAGTTGAAACCTATAAGTTGTCATTGTAGAATTGTAGTATATGATGGTTTGTCTATTGCTAATAATGTATTTAATGAATGAAAATGTGTAGTTGTTAGGATAATTTTAGAATTTTCTTCTGATAGAATTGGATGTTTTTCAAAATAATGAATCCAAAGTTTATAAAATTCTCGATTGAATCGACATCTTGGACCAAAATCATAAATGTAATTGAATTGAATTAAACGACCATTATTATTAAATTTTTCAAGTTGCTCTATAAGTTCATATCGTTGTTCGACGAATTTAAACCATTGTTGACGAAATTTATCATATGTACTTTGATTTCTTGAGTATCGCACAGTTTGAGCATGAAAATAATTGAAAAAATGTTTGACATGAGTTTCAACAAATAATAATGAATAACCACTAATAAGATAAGTTAATTCAAGAGCAATTCGTTCCTGTTGAAAATCATCAACTGATGTACAGTAACATACAGCATGAATTAAAGCTGTTCGTAACCAATCACTATGAGCTGATTTTGAATGACCCAAGAGATATGGTAATGTATAACGTGGCATATTCGAATCATAATGTACACGAGTATATAATTGACCTTGTCGATTTTCGATAGAAGCATTTAAAAATTCGACATTTGTACCAATAAATTTTTGAAAACGTACATTC